GTCACAAAGCCCAGTTCCCACAATGGCTGTGGGTCAGTGGTGCTGGTTCATGGAAGGGAGGCTTCCATTTCCAGACCAGATGAAGACGTGAGTGGGCTGGGACATGAGAGGATCAAGGTGTCCAGGGTGAAGGGCAGGATTATTCCATCCCCTTGAGACCTTTTCTGCTCTGAATACCAAGCACAGCTACTCACAGCAGCTCTGAAGTATGTAAGTCAAACATGTGCAGGAAAGAGAAATGAAAGTTCCCAAATGGAGAAGAAACCACAGTGGAGAACAGAGACTGAAACTGAGTGGCCGTAGTGCTCCGGACTGTCCCCGGGTCATAGGGACATGACCCACCCCACCCCCCGTGAGTAAAAGGAAAGGGACTCCAGGACCTCACAGGAAGGGGGTCAGGGAGCAGGTAAAGCCTGGAAGCGTGTTCCCCTCCCTGTGGTTCTGTGTGGGCTCTGGAATGTCTCTGCCCACTCACCCAAGTTCATGTTCAGCAGTGAGCAGTCTGCCCTGTGTGTCCTGAAACAGACTGAGTCCAGTATGTCAGCCATGGGTGTCTGTCCTGTGTGTGTGTGTGTGTGTGTGTGTGTGAGACTCCCACTGGACCAACCCTGATGGGCAGAATGCTGAGCAGGTGCTGAGTGTGAGAGAGTGGACTGCATGGGGCAGGGGCAGCTGCCACAGCCCCTGGTCAGCCTGACTCCCAGGACAGCCCTGGAGAATCTGCGGGAGACCAGGGGTGTGAGGGGAGAGACTCCTACAACAGTGGACAGTGGAGAAATCCTAACCCTGACAGACAGCTATGGACACCATCTACTGACTCCGGGGACTGTCACATGCAACCAACCATGTAAGGAAATATGAAAGTAAATTAAGATTATCATGTTCAAATACCTGGAAAATGTAGGCAAATATTGAATCAGGAATATCAATTGTTTTACAGAGGAATGTTTTGATTACAATTTGAAGAGCTGAACAACCCAATAGAATGGACACACTTAAACAATTCTTCCCATCAAGGATGAGACAGAGCTGAAGGGGCAGTTATGACAGTGGAGTACAGTGTTGAGGAAATTTCCAGAATGCAGCACAGGGACACCATGTATGAGGACTGAAGGTACTTGGGGACTAGAGTGAGGAGGGCCAATGTCATATCTCTGGTGTCAGAAGGAAAGAAGTGACTATGACATTTAGTAAGAGCTCCACAGAACAATAATCGAACATTTTCACAGGTGAGGAAGTCAAGCTAAGTGACAGGGGCATGTATTTAAAACTGAAATTTGGGAGGACTTCCGCCAAGGTGGAGGCATAGGTGGAGATGTCATGCTTTCTCACACAACCAACTTTAGAGACAACAAAATATTAGTAACAGAAAACACAGCAAGAACACAGAAAATTGAACTTTTGGGGTCTGATAACAACGAATTCTTCAGCCTGACCGGTAGGAGGGGCAAAGCCAGCAGCTGGCGGAGCGAGGTTGCACAGGACCCAGCAGGGCAGGCAGGGTCTGGGCTGTGTGCTGGGACTCTGGCCAAGCTGTGAGGCAATGGGTGTGGCCCGGGCTCTTGAGCAGTTAAAGGGGAAGCAGGGTGGAGGCTCCCGAGCTTGGACAGGTGGTCGCTGCTGGTGAAGGGCTTGGAGGAGAGAGGGCCGGGGAGGTGCTTCTGTCCGTGTGCATCCGGTGGGGACCAGCTCCTGCCAGTGTGCGAACTTTCTGTGGCAGCCAGGCTTGTGGCAGCCAGGCTTGTGGCAGGCACGCTGATGGGTGCTGCATGGACTTGAAGGAGCTTTGGTGCAGCCGGGAAGGGAGTGCACTGGCTCTTGGTGGCAGCTGCTCGGGGTCAGGATCAGGCCTAGGTACAGGAGGACAGGGACCCGAGGGACAGGGTGGGAAGGGTGGTGCAGCGCCTCCCCGGGACTTTGGAGCTTGCAATGCATGTCAGCCACGATCCTGGAGCCCAGAAGAGGTGGCGCGGCAGTGGCTTTGAGTCCAGGAGAGACTCTGCGCACACCCGAGCCCGAGGTGGGGCCCCTGCTCTGTGCCTGGCTGGTCCCAGTGCACTTTATGCCCAGGGAGCTGGGCCTGAGCTCCTTGGGTGAAGTAATCCTTGCAGGTAACCACTGCCATCGGCCTAAAATGTGCGCCCCTGGGACTCAGTGAGTTGATGGAACTGGGGAAACACCAGGGGATGTGAAAGAAGGTGGTGGGCGGCTCTCCCCTCTCACAAGAAGAAAGAAGAGGAAGGGACTAGAAAAGAAAGTGCATGAATGACCCACGGACACGGAGAACAGGGTGGATGGAGACTGAGCGTTGGAGTCCAGTGGGGCCGCTGTGAAATGGGCGGAGGAGAGTGTATGGGGGGAAATCGGGAGAACTGTAGTACAATAATAATTTTTAAATATTTAAAAAATAAATAAATAAATAACTGCAAAAAATAAAAAGGAAGAAAGGAGTATTTATTTTTTTATTTATTGATTGATTGATTATGCCATTACAGTTGTTCTATTCCCCCCTTCATTCCCCTCCACCCTACCCCCCGTCCCCACCATTACCCCCCCTCAGTTTATGACCATGTGTCTCAAGTTCTTTAGATTCTATATTTCCCATATTATTCTTGCCCCCCCATCAATTTTCTATCTACTGTCTATGCTACTTATTTTCTGTACCTTCTCCCCACTTCTCCTCCTCTCACTCGCCTGTTGCTAACCCTCCTTGAGATCTTCATTTCTATGTTTCCACTCCTGATCTAGCTGTCCTTTTAGTTTGCTTTTGTTTTAGGTGTGGTTGTTAATAACTGTGAGTTTGCTGTTCTTTCACTGTTCATGTTTTTTTAAATTCTTTTTCTTAGATAAGTCCCTTTAACATTTCATATAATAAGGGCTTGGTGATGATGAACTCCTTGAATTTGATCTTATCTGAGAAGCACTTTATCTGTCCTTCCATTCTAAATGAAAGTTTTGCTGGATAGAGCAATCTTGGTTGTAGGTCTTTGGATTTCATGACTTGGAATACCTCTTTCCAGCCCCTTCTTGCCTGTAAGGTCTCTTTTGAGAAATCTGCTGACAGTCTGATGGGGACTCCTTTGTAGGTGACTGTCCCCTTAGCTCTTGCTGCTTCTAGGATTCTCTCCTTCATTTTAATCTTGGCTAATGTAATGACGATGTGCCTTGGTGTGTTCCTTCTTAGGTCCAACTTCTTTGGTACTCTCTGAGCTTCCTGGATTTCCTGGGAGTCTATTTCCTTTGCCAGATTGGGGAAATTCTCCTTTATTATTTGTTCAAATAAGTTTTCCACTGGTGGCTGTGCCTTTCCCCCTTCTGGTACCCCTATAATTCGGATGTTGGAACGTTTAAAGATGTCCTGGAGGATCCTAAGACTCTCCTCATTTTTTTGAGTTCTTGCTTCTTGACTCTTTTCTGTTTGGCCATTATTTGCTTTCTTCTGGTCCACTCCATTGATTTGAGTTCCAGTTCCCTTTTCATTGCTATTGGTTTCCTGTGCAATTTCATTCATTTCAATTAGTTTTGCCTTCATATGTTTGTCTAATTTGTGGCTATAATCAACCAGTTCTGTGAGGATCCTGATCACCAATGTTTTAAACTGTGCGTCTGAGAGTTTTGCTATTTCTTTGTTGCTTAGATTTATAGGCTCTGGGGCTTTGAGATCTTCTTGAGCCATTTTTGGTCTGTTCGAGCCCTTTAAGTATGAGGAGCGGAGCCTTGAACTACCAGGTCGCGGGGTTGTGATGCTGTATGTGGGGGCGTGGTCAGAGCGGGGAAATGGCGGCCACCTCTGCTGTTTCTCCCCACTGGGTGAGTAGCAGAGCCTTGGGTGGTTCACCAGGGTGGGGCCACTCAGGTCGCTGGGTTATGATGCTGTATGTGGAGGCGGGGTCAGAGCGGGGAAATGGCGGAGCCCCGTGGGGCCTGCTCAGTCCCGTAGTCTCACCACCCACTCCCTCGCTTGTCTATCTGCGCAGGAAAGCGCGACCACAGTCAACCCGCAGCCCTGCTTCCTTGCTGTTTCCCCACGGTCGCTTGCTGAGTCGCTTACTAGGTCCAACCCTGCACCTGGGTTCCACGCGCCCGAGTCTGTCTGACCGAGTTTTTCTGTGCAACCCCACTCCAACAGCTGCTGGTTTCGCCCCTCTTACCGGTCAGGCTGAAGAATTTGTTGTTATCAGACTTCCGAAAAGTTCAATTTTCTGTGTTCTGGCTGTGTTTTCTGTTGCTAATATTAAGTTGTCTCTAAACTTGGTTGTGAGAGAAGGCACAGCGTCTCCACCTATGCCTCCATCTTGGCGGAAGTCCTCGAAAGGAGTATTTACAACCAGGAATTAGGCAAATGCCACAATCAGAGTTTATGAAAACAATGGTGTTATCTGGGAGCTGGTTTACAAACACCCCCTGACCACCCCTCCACACACCTCTGGAGTTTCTGGAGCAAACACACCAGGTCCATCATCTGATGCACAGAGCATCCTTCATGGCATCAGGCTGTGTTTTTCATGATGGTTTTGTCTTTATTTTTTTCAGACTAGTCTTTCACAATGAAATTTATTGCAGTGATATGAAGTCATACAATTACACAGGTGTCGGGCCTGATTGGTGTGGGTCAGTGGGTTGAATATTGGCCTGTGAACCAAAGGGTCCCCTGTTCTATTCTTGGTCACGGCACAGGGCTGGGTTTCAGGCCAGGTCCCAGGCAGGGGGTGTGTCAGAGGCAAGAAATCTGTGTTTACATGGCACATTGATGTCTCTCTCCCTCCCTTCCCCTCTCTAGGAAATAACTAATAAAATCTTTAAAATATTACAGAAGTTTCAAGCACACAGTTCTAAGATACATCATCTGTATATGGCACTGAGTTCTTCCAAAATCAAATCTCTCCTCACCATAGATTTCACTCTCTTCACCTTCCTCTGTCTCACTCTGACCCTTCCCCCTGGTGACCACCACTGGGTTGTCTGTGTCCATCTGAAGAAACTAGCCTGGTATTTATCCATTTAACCAGTTGTTTAAAACAGATTTATTGTCCAACCCAGAGACATACAGAATCAGCAAATGTGAAGAATAAAAGGAAGAAAACTGTCCTACATGAAAGTGGACCAGAGATGGAAGGTGAGCCCAGGGGTGGATCCTAACCTGTGATGTGGGCTGAGCCCCAGGTCAGGGGGGTGAGAACAGAGGCCCAGTCAAGGAAGGTCAGCAGTGCAGTGAGGGGAGATGCCCACAGTCTAACTGTGGGGAAGCCTCTGCAGCCCCAGCCCTGCCTCTCCCTGCAGGGGAACCACGCCCACACCCTCCACATTCTCAGCAGACTCTTTCCCAGGGGTGCCCACAGTTTCCTCCAGAGCTTCCTGGGGTCATCAGACTCTTCTCCAGGCTCTGCCTCACTGACTGGTGGGTTTGTTGTCCCCTGTGTTCAACTCCTGGCTGCATCGTGGGGTCTTCTCCAACTGTGCCAAGCTTCACACAGCAGCACCCCGAGGACCATGAGAATCAAGCCAGACACACCCAAGCGGATGAGGTTCTCCACTGTGTAGTCTTGGGGTTGACAAGGCAGAAATTGTGAGTAAAAAAGTCCCAGAAGTCAGGACAGACTCAGATCACCCCAGTCCCCCTTGCATGTCCACCAGGGCACCTGCATCTCATGGACCAGTTTTGCTGTGAGCAGAGTCCATAATTGAGAATTTCCCCTCCTCTCTACTCTTGGAACCTCAGTTGTTTACCCATCATCCCACAGGATCAACCGCTCCAGAGGGAAAGAAAATCAATAGGATATGAGAGGAGAGACCTAGCATAGCTTTCATCATCTCTTTTCTCATCTTCAATGTGTCTCTCAAACTAATGGTACCAAACTCAAACCCCCCAGGTGTGCATCTCTGGGGCCTGGACTTGCATTGCTTTGGAAACCCAAGATGCACATGAGGGACTTCAATTTGTCCAGAAGGTCAGGACATGAGGGAGTGATAGCCGGATCTACCTTTTCATTGGCCCACCTCAGCTGCCTGCTTGTGTCTTTGATCCACAAACATAATTTCCACGTCACATTCCTTTCTTCTTTCTATCAATCTTTCTTTTTAAAGAAATAAATGATGGAATATGTACAACATAGATATTTGTTTTATATTGAGGATTACCAAATATTACATAAAGTTTAAGTGATCATTCAGTTTCTAATCTAATAGGAAGATTGGTAAGAAAGTAGCAAAAAGGTAAATGAAAAAATAAAGTCTTTTAGATGCACACCTGCATGAAAACACAGATCTCTGTAGATCACAGACAACCCCTGATGTGACCAATGAAATCACAGGCAGTGCAGGGAACTCTGGGAGGGGGAGGGGGCACTGACAGGAGTTCTGGTGGGAGGTGTTTTGGAGTACACAACTGACCACCGGTTGTCATGGAAATGGAGCAGAAATTTTACTGTCTTCCCCCAACCATGTAATGAAAGTGGTCCCTGGTGGATGCAGGAAGAGTTCAGAGTGGACTTATGCTCTTTCTCCCACAGGAATTCAGTGGCATCAAATTTCTAAACTGATTAAGCTTTTTCAAATCCTGGGTTGGATTCTGTTTTGATAGATAAGAGAAGTGAGTCTCAGATACAGATAGGATTTTGTCACTGGTACCCACTGCCAGAGGGTTGAGACAACCCTCTACTTGGGTTTAGACCATCAGAGGACTCCCTTCAGTCTAACCCATAAAGAAGAGGTCTCCCCGACTCTATTTCCTATGTGGGATTTCTTCCACAGGGACCAGAACAACTCAGGAGCCTAGAATCAGCAACACAGACAGAGGCAGGTGTGGCTCCTGCTCTTTTCTCCCCACCTGACCTGGGCATCTTCCCCTTCATGGATTTCCTCCCCCTGATTACAGGGGACCTAGTGACCTCCCTCCTGCTTGAGACAAGAGGCCCCTTCTTTATGTCTCCACCTTTATCCCCAGGACTGTAGAAAACAAGACCTTCTGGAACTATTTGATGTGTTGAAGTATAAAGTGAGAAACAGCAGAAACCTGGTGGAGTCTGTGTCTCCTCTGGGCTATGAGGACTCTGCTACCCAACAGACATGAAGTTTGTCCTTGTGGAGGAGGGTCTGCAGACCCCAGCTGGTGCATAACACAGGAACCAGGGGAGGCTGTGTGTGTCCCTGCCTCCTCATGTCTCCTATAGTCCAGTAGATGTCCGCCAAATGTTGTCTCCTCATGTACTTCAGTCTCCTCCTTGCAAATACCACTGGATGGACCCTCAGGGGCGTGAAGCATGGAGAGGGTGGGGACTCCCCATGTTCTATGGCATTTATGGGGTGAGATTCCCCCTATTGCTGATCTCACTCTTTCGCTCTCCTTCCCATCCCAGCCCAGAGCTGTCCTGGGACAGAGTCTGTTCCCTCAGTGGATGTGGGGTGGGGGTCCCTCACCTGAGACCAGGAGCTCCAGGGGGTCACTGGCCTGTGACAGCTGGAAGGGGGAGGAGCTGAGTGAGCTGTAGCACCTGTAGGTCCCTCTGTGGCCCCAGGTCACAGGGCTGATGGTGAAGTTGGCCTGAGAGGGGACAGCTGTGTCCTGCAGACGAAGCTGCTGGGGAGGATCCAGGGACCCCTCCCTGTGCAGGTGGAAGGTGTCAGCCCTGACCTCAGATCGACACTGCAGGGTCACCTTAGCTCCCCAGGGCACTGAGGGCCCCGGCTGGACTGAGAGGAAGGGTTTCCTGTACATTCCTGGGGAGAGGAGGGCTGTGATGTGCAGAGGGTCATTTCTCCCCCCATGACCTTCTCCCTGAGCTGAGGGACACTGTCCTTCCCCAGGGACACTCTCTGTGACTCCAGTCAGTTTCTCTCAGTCATCTGGTGGGCAACTTTTATTTCTATGCCTGTCCCTCCCTCCTCTAAACCTCAGCCCCCCCTCAGCCTCTCATCAAGGACCCAGACCTGGACTCCATCACCACCACTGTGACCCTGGGCCTGGCCCTAAGCAGACAGTCAGGATGGGGAAGGGCAGGCTCCTCACCTGCAATCAGGATGTCCAGAGGGGCACTGGGAGCTGACCACACATAGGAGAGGTTGTGTCCACTGTAGCACCTGTACTGGCCCCCATGGGCAAGGTTCACAGGGCCCAGGGGGAATTCAGGGCTGTGCTGCCCATGGAGACAGTAGGGGGATGTGGGCCCCTCATCCTTGGTCAGAGCAAAACTGTCAAAGCCGGGCTCTGAGCTGCACTGGAGAGTCAGGCTGTCTCCATGCAGCACCAGGGGGCCTGGCTGGGCTGAGAGGGAGGGCTCCCTGTACACACCTGGGGAGAAGGGTCATTATCACCCAGGGGACACACACACACACACACCACCCACTGGGGCTGCAGGGAGAGCTTTCACTTGTCCCTCCTTAAGTGTCCTACCTATTGTGCTGTCCCCAGTAAACCCCTGTCACTGACCCCAATATCCCCCATGGCTTTACTGAGCACAAGCTAAGATCAATTGTTAGGGGTCCAGGAAAGAATTGAAGCCAAGAGTGGGCCACCTCACCTGTGACCTTGAGGTGCAGAGGGTCACTGGGCTGTGACCACACATTGGGGTTGTAGCTGGAGGAACGATAGCATCTGTAGGTCCCCCCATGGGAGGAGCTCAGGGGGCCCACAGGGAAGATAGCCTGCCACCTCACAGCATAGAAATTCCATTTCGCTTTCCTGTGTTGGGGCAGCTCAGTTCCTCCCTCCTTCAGCAGGTGGAACGTGTCCCATATGGACAGGGAGCTGCACAAGAGGGACACGTTCCCTCCTGAAGCCACCACCAGGCCTGGCTGGGCTGAGAGGGAGGGTGGGCTGTACTCTCCTGAGGGAGAAGGAAGATCTGAGTTAAAGGGAACTGTCGCCCCACCTCTCCTAGTAGTAGGCTGTGAGGGGTAAGGCCCCCCCAAAGCCACACTCTGTCCCCTTTATTTTCTCAGGAGCCCACATTGGATAGGAGACCCTGTTCCCCCTTACCTGTCAGCACCAGGAGCAGGGGCTCACTCCTCTCAGACAGCCTGCCCCCAGAGCTGTATGCACACTGGTACAGCCCTGTGTTCTTTGAGCCCATGGACTGAATGAGGAACCCGGTGTTGTTGCTGGAGGCCTGTGGGATCCTCATATCCAAGGACTCAGAACTCCTCTCTTTATACAGAATGTAGCCATCCGCCTGCAGAGACCCCTGACACCAGATGGTCACAGGGCTCCCCTTGCTGACAATGGGGCCTGGGTCAGCCCAGATGGAGGGTTTGGGGGGAACTTCTGGGAAGGAATCAGATCTACAGTGTCACGGGGTGTCCTTGTCACCTCAGTTTCCCCAGCTGTCACTGCAAAGCCCCTCTCACACTGGGCACCATCAGCCCAGACCCAGTGTGTGTTTCTCAGCTGCCAAGGGGCATCTTAGTGCTGAAGCATGAGCTCTTGGGGAGAACTCACCTGCCTGAACCTGGTGCCATGGGCCCCGACACAGACCTGGAAGAGAGGCCCTGTGAGATTTTCCTTCACCCCACACACAGAAGCTCCAGGCCTGGCTTGGGCCCCTGCTGAGCTGATATCTTCTCTCCTTAGAATCTCTGCCCCCACTGAGCCTCCTGGGTCCTAGATCTGGGAGTGCCGAGAACCCCATCCTCTGTTTTCCCCAGAACTCACCGAGACAGAGAAGAGCAATGAAGGTCAGGGTCATGAAGCTGTCTGCCAGGGTTTCCAGGGGTGCAGATGACATAAATTGTCCCTGAGCCCTGCAGGACAGACAGACACACATGGTGTGTACCAAGGTCCTGGCTCTTTGTGACAAGTCAGTTTCTTCCTCAGCTGCAACCTGCCCTCCCTGAGGGGTGGTGGAGGAGACAGCAGGTCCTGGCACCATGGAGACCAGATCTCAGTCTCTGCAGACCCCACATGTCCTGCACCCACCTCATGTGACACCCAAATCCGGAGGGTGACACCTAGCCCAGAACATGAGGGCAGAGGACGCCAGGCAGGACTCAGGAGCAGCCCAGTTCCTGTTGCATTTCTGATTCTGCCTGTTTTACAACCCTTGTAACCATGGGCAATTCACTTCCTTTTCCTGAGACAACAGAAATGCAATGTTTCTTCCGGCCTTTCTCCATCCCAGAAACCCCAAAAACCGGCCAATATTTCCGAGCAGGTGCCCAGTCCAGGCATGAAGTTCACTGGGGAAGGTGACTGACTCCTCCCCTGGACACACCCACTGCTGGTTAGCAACACCAGACAGTACAAATATGTAGGCAATGGATGATGTGGGTGTTGTGTTGGTAAGTTTCAGAGAAGGAGGAAATGGAGCACAGAGAGACTCCATATTGGTGGACGCCATGGAGTGTGGGGACCTGCAGGTGAGGGAGGGACCAGGACACACTAGGGGTCAGCAGAGGGGGGGTCAGAGGACCTTTGACCAGGAAGAGACTGATTATTGTCAGAGCTGTGAGTCATCAGGCTGTGCTGGGCCCTGGTCCCACGGGGTCCCTGCTCCCTGCAGGGACTCCTGGGTTTGATCTTTCAGGTAAGGGAGCACTTTTGAGTAAAGAAATGTGCAAGCAGGTTGCTGCTTTGAGAAGATGACATTCTGTGGGAATAGGCTGTAGGAGTGAGGAATGGTTGATAAACTGTGATAAAACTCCAGCCCTCATCTAACACTGAGGTAATGAGCTGATCAGTACTCTGTGTGGTTTATGAGAATTTTTTATGAAACCCAACACAAAACCCATAGCACAAATATGATTGAAGCTGAGTCAGAAGAGGTGGGAACATTTCTTTGTCATTATGTTGGTCTAGGAGGTGTGCAGAGTGTGTTCTGTTCTGATGGGCTCGGGGGGCGCCCATGACACATATGGTGTGGCCATGACCCAGGTGTGTGACTCTGAGGAGGGGAGGTGGGCACTGGGAAGGGTCTGCTTTGTAGGGACCAGTTGTCTCTGCTTGGGATGGAGAGTTTAGCTCAGCCTCGTCTCCAACAACATGGACCGTTAGGTGGGGCTGCTTGGCTGGGCTGGAGTGAGGTGGGGACCTGTGGAAAGATTTCGTGCAGGGAGAATTTATGACAGATAACTTCAAATGCATGGGAGTGAAACCCCTCAGCTGAGAGTGAGGGACCACAGGAGGCCAGAGAGGAAGAGGATGGGGTCACACCCCCACGATGTCCTGGGTCTTCATGTGAGTGTGACTGTGAAGGGGAAGTGAGACCCACAAACAGGGTCTCGGTCAGAGCTGTGGGTGTGCTCATTCTGTAGTGGGCGGAAAGAGGGAAGAGCTGAGGGCAAGTCTGATCTCTGCCTGGGTGGCCTGGGAAGCCAATAGGGCTTTCCCAGGACTGACCACCCACTGAGGGGCTGAAGGTGTGGGGGGAGGATTAGCACATGGTCACCTGATGCACTGCAAAAGCCACCTACTCTCCTGGCTGGGTGTGTGGTTTGGTATCTCCCTCCCACTCCTCCCTCTGAGTCCCTGCTGTCTGTGAGCAGGAGACCTTCTCTCCATCTCTCCCATCTAGGCCCCTGAGCAGGTCTGCCTCCTCACTACCCTGCTCTGTGAGGGGTAACCCTTCATCTGACACTGGTCACCCCGTCTCTATGCATCGAGCAGTAGCAGCAGTTGCAGACAATTCAGAGATTTTCATCTAAGGTAAGGGGAAACATTATCGGAAGTGGGCCAGTCCCCTCTCCTCTCCCTTTGCCCTCACTGCAGACAAGGGTGGAAGCTCAGCTCTCAAGGTGTTGTGAGGATCAGCAGAGCCTGAGACATGGAGAGGCTTCATCTGTGTCATTTCTGGGCCTGATAAAGACCCAGGCTTGAGAGAGTTTGGGAGGAAGGGCTACTTGGAAGCCTCATACTTGCCTCCCAATCCCTCAGGGGGCATCAGAAGCTAAAGGGCACATTTTGTTGAATGGCAGTTGAGCCCAGACTGAGAGGAGACAGGTAGGATGCTGCTCGTCCTGGATCCTGGGCTCACCACACTCAGGAGTGAGGGTGGGAATCCCCCCAGGGGCTGAGCCTGAGCACTGGGCACTGAGGGCATCTCGGACCTGGTGAGAGTCCCACCTCCTATGAAACTGCCTGGGGACGTGGGGCCACTTCTGAGGTAAGAAGGATCCACAGGGAACCATGGCCATTGACTTGGATTTCTTACTAATGAGGTAAAATCATATAACATAGATTTGAGCCTTTGAATATATAGAATTCACTGGAATGTAGTCAACACACTTGTCTCAACCAGAACTGTAATGTTGTTTTAACAAGGAATTTGTGTAATCCTGCCCCCAAATACCACAGAGCCTTCAGTCTCTCATTTCTCCTCCTCGTCAGCCCCTGACAAGCCCACCTGACTCCCATCTCTGTGGGTTTCCTCCTGCTGGACACTTCACACAAACACAGTCACAGGAAACGTGATCTTTTCCGTGTGGCTTCTGTCACTTAGCTGCAGAATGTTTATGTTCATTCACTCTGTTGCTGGTGTCAGTACTTTGTCTTTATGGCTTAAAAAGTCCTCCCGGGGTATGAGGACACCACTTTTGTTTATGTGAGTGGGATCCAGCATGAAGGGGTGTGTAGATGTGAACCCAAACCAGCCATGTGGGGCGGCCCCTCATGTCACAGGGGTGAGAACAGGAGGACAGTCAAGGGGAGTCAGTGAGGATGAGGAGGGGCGTCCCCCTACAGTGGGATGGAGGAGGCGTCTCCATAGGAACATGGCTCACGTTTCCTGTTCCCAAAACTTGTCTGCCCCATGGACAAATCAGCAGAGTTTCTCCACCTGCGGTGAGACTGTCCTTCACCTCCTCCTGGGTCATCAGATGGGCTCCATGGTTCCCTCTCTCTGAATGGTGCCCTGTCCCCTCTGTGTTCATGTCCTGGCTGCAGCCTGGGCCAGTCTCTCACTGTCTCGAGCCTGAAGCACCATCACCCCGAGGACCATCAGGACCGATCCAGCCACGCCCACGCAGATCAGGTTTTCCACTGTGTAGTCTTTGGGTTGGGAGGCTGCAAAATGTGGGGTCGGAGGTCAGCATAGTCAGGCAGCCCCAAATCTCCAGGACTCTGGTATCCCCCCAGGCTCTTTAATCCCCTTGATGTCAGCATCCCTGGAATGTCTGAATTCAGCTCTGACTCCTAGCCACCATGAAAAGACCAAGCTGTGCCCAAGAGCTCTGGATCAGGTGGGAAAAATGGTACCAGTTCAGGAATAATTTAGAGCTGTGAGTTCTGGGTTCAGTCTGTGACGCAAGACCCAGAACAGGTCATAAGGAGGCAGGTCCCCAGAAGTTTCTAGTCTGGTCTTCAATAGGGAACAACTTCTTCTCTTTGGGATGTAGGGAGGAGGCAGAGGAGAAAAGGAATAGGGACTTGGGACCATGGACCATAGGGTCAGAGATCAGGTCAGTGGCCCAGAAGGGGCAGCCGGTCATCTTCTCTCTTCTTTTGGACAAACTCTGTAAATTCTGGCAAGATTTCATGGATGGATGGTTAATCCTGTCATATTTACCCCAAAACACAAACTCCACACACTACTTATCAACACTGCCAACCAAGAAAACCCACAGTTGTGGTTTTCACACTTTTAGGAACAGAGAAATGTCCCCAAATTGCTGTATTTTGCAAGCACCAAAACTAGGAAAGTATGAGAATGTGCTTCCCCATTTTGATATAGAAAATAAGATATAAAAAAGTTAATCACTTATGTTCTAATTCCAAAGGTCCCCACCAAAATTCTAAATATCAGGTCACACAGTTCGGAAAATGCACATGGACAATAAATGTTATTCATTTGCATTAATATTCAAATGGTTGAAAGCAGGAAGCCTTTTGGAATGTGTCTCATGTAGTTATAGAGGAGAAAGAAAAGATAATTTTTAGAAGATGCGTATCTGTCAGTAAAAAATAAATCCTAACAAAACTCTAAGGAAATCAAAAAACATTGAAATAAATGTTGATAGCGCATTCAATATAAAATGTAGATATCTCAATGAGTTTGCCTTGAAATAATTGGGGTTATGAATAGAACTGTTATTCAGAGGAAAAGCTATGGCATATGTGATTTGCTCATTTTATCATGTGGAATTTGGAGCGAGAAAAATAGGTATACAGTGTGCAATAAGTGATGTGACCTTTGACGTGTGGTTATAATAATTTTCTCAGTGTATCAGTGAGATCAATTGAAAAACAATCCAAAGAAAGAGAATTTTAGGAAGTTATACTGGTGAGGAAATAAATGCACCCAAACCAATATCTTTCCTATGGGTACTTTCTACTATTTAGACTGTACAAAGGAATCAAACCGCTTACACACAAATTACATTCTTAGATGTGTGGTTCTGAAAGTTGGCTATAAGGTTACTCAGTTTTACAAATATCTATCAAATGCTTCTGAAGTTCACTAAAACCTCATTTGAAATGTGTGTCATACAAAGACTTAATAGTAACCAGAAGTTCTTTTCTGCAACAAGAGTCTGAATTTAGTCTTCCCTATGAAACTAGGAACAGCATTATAGACATTTAAATGTTGACTCCATATACTGTAAATTAAACTGTTACTCTGTACACTGACACACTGCCCAAAAGTCCTCAGAAAGGAGCAGGAACAGAGGGGCCCCAAGAACCACAGAGCAGACAGGGGAGCCCTGAGTGTGGGCTGGAGCCCCCAGCTCCTCCTGAGCCTGGCACAGCCCCTCCTCACTCTCAGGTGAGCACTGAGTGCTGGACGCTCCAGGTGAGCCCAGGGGCCTGCAGAGCTGGGCTCCCAGGGGAGGGGGGACCCCAGGTGCTCAGACTCTGAGATGAAGATGCAGGAGGTGAGTGGGGGAGGGGATCTGTCCTCTCTGCTCAGTCTAATCACCTTTCTCCTCACTTCTCACACACCTCCCTCCTCTCTCCTGCTCTTTCTCTCTGCTGAGATTCAGAACAGGGGCTCAGGGGTGGGAGGCCTAGTCTCTTTCCACCTCTCAGGGGCTGGATCCCCCTCTGTGGAGCCTCCTGCACTCCTCATTTATTTCTCTCCCCGAATCTCCTAGGGACAGGGCCCAGTGAGAGTACAGAGGACAGGGTCAGGGGCCTCACCTGACACCAGGAGCTCCAGGGGGTCACTGGGCT